TTGTTTACCAGGAGCGCATGTTTTTGGAATCCTTTGTCTCTCAGCCAAACAGTGGGGTTTGCGTCAGTAGCCCAACTGGGGGTCTGGCCTTCATCACTGTGTCCTCTGGATCAAGAAAAGCAGTGTCTCCTTTGTTTCACCCTCAAAACTCCTTTCTCCTTAATCCTGCAGACAGAAAGCTGAGATTCTTCCACTGGGAGAGAGTCTAAGTTCTTTGTATTTTATTTTAAGATGCTCTTCCAAATAATTGCTAAGTGGCAGGACCAGGATTTGAACTTGTTCATTTTGGCTCCAGTGCCCATAATCTTGTTTATGCCATACTGTCTCTGTAAATGGTTTTAACTGCTCTGTGGTAACCAGGAATCACATGGAAATAAAATGAAAAAACTCTGTCCATCATAGACACTATCCACATTACCAACACTCAGTAATTTCACAGGGCTGGGTGCTAGCATACTGATAATCATCCCAGAACATTTAATGAGCTACGTGGCCTCTGACATATGTTCTTTTTACTCAAATCAGATTTGAAGATTGCAACTTTGCTTGTGCTTTGCATTCTAAGAATCTATGATTCTGAGACCCACAGTCTAAAATCCTATGATTTCCTCCCAGTTCTGACGTTTTGTGACTTTCTTGTGTCCAAGGAGAGCCCTAAGGAGGCCCTTCAAGTTTTAAAGGCGATGAACTGGGGGGCTGGCTGTACTTTTCCTTGACTGGAGACTTTCTAAAGACAGAGAAATGACCTTAGCTTCGGGTCTTGCTGGCAGCCAAAGATGGGTTTTCAGCAGTCTCCAGAGAAAATAAAGGCAAAAGGAAGGGACTGGCTGTACGGAACAGGAGGCGGCGGCATGGGGGTGGGGGCTGTCTGCATCTGGTGGCCACTGAGCCAAAGGAAATATATCTCCTGCCCCCTGCCCTGGAATACTTTTCCTCCCAGCACCTCAGCCATTTCATGGTCCAATGGGGGTGCCGTGCTGTTCAGGTGACCTAGGAGATAATGGCCACCAAAGGAAGTCAAATGCCTGGACCCTGCCCCCTTCACTGGGGCTAGGGGCTGACTTCTTCCTTCTCTGAGCCTCTGTCTTCCTAGCTGTGCCATAGGGCAGAAAAACATGCTTTTAGCCCCAAATGAGATGCTGACTCATGAAAGCACTTTGAAAAGAATAATTATATGCATCTCACAGATAGCTAACTAAAGATATAAAGGGGAGGTTTCACTTAATACAATTTTGCCAACTGGGTAAAAGGATTTGCTCATTTATGTAAAATGGGCTGATATTTCCATGGGCAGGCAAGTTCTGGAAATGCTGTATACCATTCTCTCTGCCGGATGGATCTCTGGCACCTGTGGCCAGTGGGGTTTAGAGAACCTCAGAAAGGGATCTCACGGGTGTGCAGGGATTGTTTACTGTGTACCAAGGACCGGTCCAGTTGCTCCCTTCCCTCCTATCTCAACATCAGGAGGGAAAGTATCCTGAAATTTGGAAAGAACCCCAAATTTGGAAAATACTCTTTCACGATTTTGCATTTTCAATATTCTGTTTGCATTTCTCCTTGACCCTCACCTTAAACTCCGATCCCTCGTAGGCTCACTCCAACTTCATGAGAAGGGAGGTTTCATGTGGAATGGGAAAGTTGAAGGATTTGGGGCACATGCTTCCTCCTTTTCAATCTTAGACTCATCAGAAAGTGGGACTAGAAACCCTTCCACATCTGTCTCCCTACCTCCCAATGTTGTGAGGAGTTTCCAAACCAAAACAGCTACCATTGAGTTGATTCCAACTCATGGCGACCCCGTGTTTGTACAGTAAAGCTGTGCTCCATGTGATTTCAGTGGCTGTGATCTTTTGAAAGTAAGCATGTCTTCTAGGTGCTTCTGGGTGGATTTTAACTGCTAAGATTTTAGTCAGTAATGGACTGATTAACTGTGCCTCTCAGGGACTCCAGAAGGCTCCAAAGGGAGACTACATATGTGAAAGTGCTTTAGAAACACTACAAGAATTTACCAATTGTTTTTTTCCTTCTGGTTGCACCACCAAGGATGGGAGCAGCAGAGAGAGCGAGTATGCTGTTTGGGAAAGAGTGCAGGGAGACGGAGAGGAGGACAGATCAAAGAGGTGGCAAAGAGCAGCGTGTGGTTTCTTTATCCAGGAAACGGACAGAGATTCAGGAAGCATTGATCCTCCTGACTCTCCGACCCGACGTTTATTAAATTTCCAGTTCTAGCTGGGTATTTCTCCAATGACATGGCTTCTTTGAAAGTCCAGACAAGATGAGTTAATTTTGTTCTAGCTGCCAGTCTTGCATTGGCCCTTAAACTTCAAACCATCTCAGACAAGTCCTTCATTGATACTTTCTGTCTTGGTTCATTCGTCCAAAGCCACATACTGGGGTTGTTTAATTTAAGTCTTCCAAATGAGAAAGCAAGCAGAGAGATTTTTCCACTTCTAAATCTGGGGAACAAGCATATAACTGTGTGAGGGGGAAGACATTCCAGAAACTGTCTAGTAAGGGATGGCTGGGGCCATTGTTAAGCAATGCCAGGTTCTCAGGTTGTTGTTGTTAGGTGCCGTCGAGTCGGTTCCGACCCATAGCGACCCTGTACAGGGTTTCCGAGGGTGTAAATCTTTACGGGAGTAGAAAGCCTCATCTTTCTCCCGCTGAGTGGCTGGTAGTTTCGAACCGCTGACCTTAAGGTTCGCAGCCCGATTCGTAACCACTACGCTACCAGAGGTTCTCAGGTTAGTTCCTTTAAATTCCTATTTTGTATCATACAGACTGGCTTGACACCACTGTAGGATAAGCACAGGACCACAAGGTCAGTTTGAACCACAAAGATGTCTTTGTTGCTAAGTGCCCATCGATGAGTTTGAACCACAAAGTTGGTGGTTCAAACTCATCAGCTGCGCCTCAGAAGCCTTATACAGGGTTGCTATGAGTCAGAACTGATTCGATGCAATTTGGTATTGAATCATCAGAGAAAGAGTTTTCTCCAAGGTCCCTTACAATATGAGATTCTTTTATTAGAGTCTAGAGTGCAGCATCCAGAAGATGGGTCTTAACTATGACCAAACCCAATACCAAACCAATCCTGTTGTTGTCAAGTTGATTCTAACCTGTAGAGGACAGAATATAACTGACCACTAGTGACTTGGTGGCACACAGCTCCCACCTCTAGGGTGTCCAAAGCTGTAGATCTTTATGAAAGCAGACTTTGCATCTGTTTTCTGCAAAGTGGCTGGTGAATTTGAACCACTGACCTTTCTGTTAGCAGTCCAGTGCTTAACCCGCTATGCCACCAGGACTCCTTTAGCAGGGACTAGGGCAGGGGAGTCCTGGTGTGGCATTGTAGAATAAACATGGCACTGCTTAACTACAAGTTTGGTGGTTCAAACCCACCAGCTGCTCCTTGGGAATCTTATATGTTAAGTGACTCGATATCACTTAAAATTATTGTTGTTTTGTTGTTAAGTGCCGTCGAATTGATTCCAACTCATAGTGACACTGTATAGGGTTTCCGATGAGTGGCTGGTGAGCTTGAACCTCTGACCTTGAGGTTCAAACTGACTTTGTAGTCCAGCACATTAACCCACAATGCCACACCAGGACTCCAATATGGCAGTGGAATTTTCTGGATCTCAGCTAATATCCTTTAGCTGTGAAAGGCAAATATAACATGTAAGCCAGTTCCCATAAAGGATACAGAAAAATGTTGCCCCTTCTGGGTAGAATGGAGAAATCTGTGGCCACTCTCATTTCCACTGGCCACACTCCAAGACCATTGTCCTTTGTTTCAGAATGCAGATCTTATTGCCTCAGATTGACAACAAGTTTCTGTCTATTAAACTTCTCCCATTGCAGAGGGGCTGCAGAGGAGGAGGAGGAAAAGAAAGAATGCTTAGGGTTTGGGAGAAAAAGAATCTGAGAACATCAGAGACTGAAGGGTCTGGTATTGCTGAAACTTCACAAACTAGCCAATCACCTTCATTGAATTAATTTTTAAACATTTGAGGAAGTATATAGAAAAAAGGAGACGTCATATCATTATCGTAAGTGGAAAAATCTGTGTATGTATGCTACAAATAGGAGGAAATTTAAAAAATAAACACACGACCAAAAAAAAAAAAGTTTTATTGAATTTCAGCTGGATATAGTTTCCTTCGTCTTACGTACTTTGGACATACTATCAGAAGGAGTTTTTCCCTGGAGAAGGTCATCATGTTAGGTAGAGAACCAGAGAAAAAGAGGAAGACCCTTAATGAAATGAATTGACATAGTGGTTCCAACAATGGGCTCAAACATAGCACCAATTATGAGGATGGTGCAGAACTGGGGAGTGTTTTGTTCTGTTGTGCATAGGGTTGCTATGTGTTGGAATAGACACTGTTGCACCTAACAACAACAATAATTTCCTGTGGAATTGTGGAGTTAGAGGCCTGTCCTTTCTTTGTTAAAAAGGAAGCTAGATGAATTTTGTTGTAGTTGTTGTTGTTAAGTGCCTTTAAGTTGGTTCTGACTCCATGCAACCCTTTATAGAGTTTTGGAGGCTGTGCATCTTTGACCTTGTGGTGCGATATTCAGTGATTATTGTACAAAGCCACCATGCTCCCCAGATGAGTTTTAGAGAGATGCTAAAGACATCTTAGGGTCCTGGTGTGGCGCTGTGGGTTAATGTGCTGGATTGTAAAGTCAGCCTGATCTGCAAGGTTGGAGGTTCAGGCTCACCAGCCTCTCCTCAGAAACCTAAACAGGGTCTGACTCGATGGGCACTTAGCATCAAAGACATCTTAGTACCACACTGAAACTTTTTTGTCATATGAACAACAATGGAAGAGAATTAAATAGGAGCAAGCAGCTTTCTGCCATTGTCATTTAACAATGTTCCACATACCATCTAACATAACATCACATTGCCTAGGAATTCAGCATCTGGGAACTCTCCTTTAAGAAACTCTAGCTCACTGATATCTCAATCTCTTTCACCCCCACAGGGTTCCCACCATGAAGGCCTGGATCTTCTTCCTCCTTTGTCTGGCCGGAAGGGCCTTAGCAGCACCTGTGAGTATCTAGAGATCATATCTTATCTCTTACAATTAGCTCTAGGACTTCTGACCTTGTCATCCTCGGATGCTTAGAGGAGACAGGGACTTCACATTTTGTGTTGGTTGTCTTATTTGTTTCTTTAAAAAAAAAAAAAAAAATATATATATATATATATATATATATATCTTTTCCTCCCTTAAGCTCAGGAGAAACTGGGATGAGGATCATTGGGTGAAGGTCCCAAAATAGAGAGATTTTTGTATAATGTGAAGACAAACATTTTGGGAGTCAGAGCTCCCCAGTTCTGACTTAAGAAGAAGGAACTCTTTGTCATCCAATATATTCAAGCAGAGAGAGGTAGACATTAGAAAGGAGTTAAACCACAGAGTGAGGGATGGGTAAATTACTGAATCAAGGAGTGTTTTTTGGTTGCAAGCAACAAACTCAATTTGAGTAAATAAGAGGGGGTAGATATAGAATGTAGTGGTGGTTACGTGCTGTGGAGTTGGTTCCGACTCATAGCAACCCTGTACAGAGTTTCCGAGGCTGTAATCTTTAAGCGAGCAGAAAGCCTCATTTTCTTCTGCAGAAAAGCTGGTCGTTTCAAACTTCTGACCTTGCGGTTCACAGCTTGATTCGTAATCACTACGGTATCAGAGCTCCTTACAGAATGTAGTAGAGGGAAAAATTCAGCCCATCTTTAGATTGTGCTGTTGTTGTTGTTGTTAGGTGCCATCCAGCTGGTTCCACCTCATAGCGATCGACCTTATGTGGAACAGAACCACACACTGCCCAGTCCTGTGCCTCTCTCACTGGTGCTGTTTGGCTTGAGCCCACTGTTTCTTCTACCGCTAAATCCATCTTGTTGAGGGTCTTCTTTTTTTCTGCTGACCCTCCACCTTACCAAGCATGATATCTTTCCCCAGGGACTGGTCCTTCCTGACAACACATCCAAAATATTATATTATAAATATTATATTTATTGTTGTTAAAAGAGGAAGACTCCCAGTGTGATGGATTGGCAAAGTGGCAGCGTCAATGGGCTCAAGCTTGGCAACAATTGTGAGGTTGGCCCAGGACTGGGCAGTGTTCCGTTCTGTTGTACATAGGGTCGCTATGAGTTGGTACCAACTTGATGGCAACTAACAACAACAACAACATTGTTGTTATTGTATGCTGTCAAGTCGTTTCCAACTATAGCGAGTTCCAAGTATAGGGTCTCTGAAAGTGACTGGTGGGTTTGAACCGCTGACCTTGAGGTTAGCAGTCTAGTGCCTATTGTAGACCCTTTGTTAAATCTTAAAGACTTTTTTTTTTACTTAAAAGAATCAAAAATAACCTTGGTGATCTCCCTGTAAGCTGTTCCCCAAACTCTTCTAGTATTGGTATTCCAGGCCAGACAGACTTAAGAGCTAAAGCTGGACTTGACCCTGACGTCTCTAAACCCCATTTTCTCTTTCCAGCAGCAGCAGGAAGCCCTGCCCGATGAGACGGAAGTGGTGGAGGAAACCGTGGCCGAGGGGGCCGAGGTAAGCAAGTGGAGAGCTTAGACCTCTAGTCTTTCCCTGTTCAAACTATTGCCTGGGGGACTCAGACAGGCTCTGTGGCTCTCACTGCTGGAATGGAGCAATTCTCCCCTTCTCATGTGCACTCAAGCACACATGTAAACCCTGTGCATCCTTCAAATCCTGACACTACCCTAAGTGCTTCCCAAATTTCAATGGAACTCCATGATATGGTGCTGTGATTTAAAAAATTTTAAATTTCTAACTGATGGCACAATTTTCCTTCCATGATCACCCATAGTTTCCCCATACATGAACCAGATGAAGAGGAGTTACCCCGGTGTGGTTGGCATGGGTGGAGGGCTTGACATACCCCTCTTGTCCTAATATTCCTGGGGGTCTGTAAGGCATCTCAACAGTATATAGAAACCAAGAGTGGGTCTAAAAGGTAATATCTAAATTCTAGAACCTGCCTTTTGTGCTGTCTGACCTGACTGAGTCCACCTTTCCCTAGCCCCTTGTGGGTACCTACTGTTCCAGGCAAGACGTTTCTTCTCCATTTGTCGGGTCTCCACTTCTTCCCTCCAAGTCCAGGTTAGAAATAGGGTTCATTCTACTCTTTTTTCTCTCTCCTCCTCAGGTATCTGTCGGAGCCAACCCCGTCCAGGTAGAAGTAGGAGAATTTGAGGAAGGTGCTGAGGAAGCTGAGGAGGAGGTGATGGCTGAAAGTAAGTCCCTTTTCCATGACTTGGTACATCCAGTTTTGGTCCTCTGTTGTTTAGGTCAGGGTCATGGGGACAGGCCTGCAGATTCCTTCACAAGAAAATGCAGGGTGTATAATTTGTTGAATGTAAAACTGATGATATTATCTGATCATCAGATGATGATGTAAAATGGATGATCTTGATGATCTTCACTCAATTCAAAATAAAAAGTTTAAAAGGAAAAAAAAATTTAAAAAAAAAAGAAAAAGAAAATGCAGGGTGGAAACATCAGTCGGCTGGGGAGGGGAAACAATTTTGACAATAGTTGGGAATATTCTGTGAAGGAATTTGTGAAAGATCTAGAACAATCAAGCTGTGAGGGGCAGGAAGGAAAATCCCCAGCTGGAAATGATCTTCTCCCTCATTGCTCTTTTCTTTGGTTCTAAAGTAGGGTTTTATATTCCCACTGACATCACCAGTCACGTCTCATCACCGAGCTTTCCAATGGCCTTTATCTTAGCCTAATGTGGTGCTGTGGGTTAATGTGCCAGACTGCAAAGCCATTTGAACTGCAAGGTCGGTGGTTCAAGCTCACCAGCTGCTCCTCGGAAACCCTATACAGGGTCGCTATGGGTTGGCATCGACTCCATGGCACTTCACAACACAGCAACAATCCCCATTTGGGAGTAGACCTGAGGAAACCAAGTGCTTTCACAGTCATTTGCTTATTGGATTTTCACACAGCCCTGTGGCAATGAGGCCCAGAAACTAGACACAACTCATTTAATGTTATCCAGGGAGTTAGTGTCAGAGGGAGAGAAATGACCAAGGACCTTTCTGGCTCCAGCCTACCAGGCTACCTACCACCTCCAATCTGCAAAGTTGAAAGCCACTGTAGTGAGGAGTGAAGAGCATGGACATTGGAGGCAAACCAGCCAAGGCTTGTTCACTCTTATGTGAGTGGTCTTGGACAGCTTGTTTCGCCCCTCTGAGTTTCAGCTTTCTTACTTCTAACATGAAATGGAGTCCTTAGGTGGTGGAGACAATTGCGGGCAACTGTTGGCTTGGTTGCTAATGGAAAGTTTGGAAGTTCATGTTTTCCTCAGAAAAAAGGTCAGGAGATCTACTTTTGAAAAATCAGCTATTGAAAACCCTATGGAACATAATTCTACTCTGAAACACATGGGGCTCCATGAGTCATAGTGGACTCACTGGCAACTGATTTTAACATGTTAATAATGATGAAGATGGTAGACCTTCACCTTATGGGTTCTGGGAGGATGATGAGTGAATGGATGTGAATCTGTGAATGCAGCTTAGCTTACTGCCTGGCTGAAGAGGCATCTAATAAGGGATGATTAAAATGCCCAAAATAAAGCACCAAGAGGAAAGGCTAGATTACAATACCATCCTGAGGAGAATCATGGGTGTTTAGACTGAGCTGAGCACAAAGTCATGTTCCTTCCCTCTTCTACGCCCACTTCATCCGGCATTTACCGGACACAGCCGGACCCTATTGTTCAGTGTGGGCCTCACGTTTCTTCTCCCTTTTCCTTTATAGCCTTGTAAGTCTGTTTTGTTGGATCTCACATTCCCACGGCCCCATGACAACAGTTAGCCTTCCAGGTCATTCTAAAATGTCTATTGTAGAATCCAGAAATGCCTCATTATGATTGATCAGTCTCTGGGTAGTACATATACTCAGTTGCTACCTGAAAAGTTAGTGGTTTGAGCCTACTCAGAATTGTCTTGGAGAAAGTCCCATTCTACTGTAACACACATGCAGTCACCATGAGTTGGTGTTAATTTGATAGCAATTATTATTATTTAATGACTGGTCAGCCGAAAGCTGGAAGCACAAACATTGCTTCAATCCTGAAGTCAGCTATAGGGCACCCAGTGTCTCTGGTTCTGAAATTCAGCTTTCTGTCTCAAAAGGACTGCCTGACCCTGATCTCAGACTGAATCTCTAACTCCCAGCCGGAGCCAACTTCTTCTCAAATGCAGATTGCTAGGCTCAGTGGAAGAGCAGGGAGGACTCAGGGCTACTTTGAGCTGAGACTGGGGACCACAAGGATTGATCTTAGTTGGGTTAGGTGGCTTAAATGTTGCTAACTCTGGGCTCTTGCACCTACCAGATCCCTGCCAGAACCATCACTGCAAACACGGCAAGGTGTGTGAGTTGGATGAAAACAACACTCCCATGTGTGTGTGCCAGGACCCCACCAGCTGCCCTGCCCCCATTGGCGAGTTTGAGAAGGTAAGGGCTGAGGGGCAGGGAATTGGGAGATTAATTCTTCAGAGCCCAGAGTGTCTGCTCAGGAAATTGTTGGCTTGGTGGTTCTATGACAAGGTAGCTCCAGTCTCAAAAGTCCCATTTCAGACCCAGTCACAGCAAGAAAGTAGTGGTGAGTCAGAGGCAAGGTGTTGCCAGCAAGAATTTGTTCAGCACTGTCCGGTTCCAAGCCCAATCAGTGCCTGACATCAGCTCCATGGACATTGAGGTAGGGGCTTGCTGTTATAGGAGCAACTTAGCAAAGCATCAGTTCTGAAAATGTGGGTACTGGAGTCAGCCTGAAGGTAGATTTCAAACTCCATCTCCACTACTTGTTAGCTGAGAGATCTTAAATATCCAGAAGTATGACTTATTTTTGTTCTATTTTCTCTCAAACCTGTCCATTCTACCTTCAGTTGAATCTATCCATCCATCCATCCAAATAAATATGAGGGTGTTTTAATAAGTTCATGAAGCAATTACATGATCTTTTAATTTCACTTTCCCATGAACTTTGGAAGCATCTCCCCATCCCCCTGCCATATTTATTGAGCACCCTGTCATGCCAACTATTTTGCTCATGGTGCACTACTAGCTCAGGGCAAAAAAAATGTAGTATCAACATTATTCCCACAGCTTTCCATCTGTCTTCTCTGCCTTTAGTCTCTCCTCAATACAACATACCCTATGGGCTCTAAATCTGACATTATCAACTCTTCCCTCCTCCCCTTCCCCTGTCCCGCTAGTCACCAAAGCTCATCAATTCCCCTTCCTCAGTGTATAAGTACTTCCTAAGTACCTGGACTCCTGGTGTGGCTCTGTGCGCTAATGCATCAGACTACAAAGTTGTTTGAACTGCAAGGTCGGTGATTAAAGCTCACCAGCTGCTCCTTGGAAACCCTATACAGGGTCGCTATGGGTTGGAATCAACATGACGGCACTTAACAGCAACAGAAGTACTTGTAGGATAGTCCACACAAGACTCCTCTCCTAACAGTTTTTACTGTCACTGCCCTCAATGTCTCTGCTTGACTGCCCACATGTTCAGAAATTTACTGGAAGCACTTGTATGACTCAGCATATAGCTGTACTTACAGCTGAAATGTATTACAGTGAATATATGTTAAGAATATACAGTTGGATCATAAGGAAAAAGACATAGGCAAGGTTGGGAGGAATTCTTGTGCAGGCTATCTTGTTCACTCCTTCCCATGAGGGTCAAATAGAGAACACTCTCTTGGCAATAAAAATGCAGCAACATACATGTGATACAGAAGTTTATTAGAGATTCACCACCTAAGGTTTTTATTGGGGGCTGGTCATATAGGGCCCCTCTGCCCAGCAAGCATCAACATTTCAGACTCCTATAAGGAAAGCAGATGTTCAGCAGAAACCATGGTGCTTATATCAGCAATTTAGGTACAATGAGACACCTTTATTATTTAGGGGGACTGTTTCATCAGCCAATGGCCAACAGTGTAAGCAGGTTCCCCTAAGGAAAGCATTCTTAGGTCTGATACGTTCTTTTCTCCATTCCCAACTTCAACACATTCTTCACCTATCTTCTAGGTGTGTTTGCCCATATCTCAGCCTTGAGTCAGACTTTTGCTTAGATTTGTGGCTCTCAGCATTGGTTAAACATTGGCCAGGGAGCTAAAAGAAGGAGATTTTGTCCCAGCCCCACCACTAATTCCCTGTATAACCTCAGGCTAATCACATTGCTTGCCTGGTCCTCAGTGTCCCCATCTCTGAAATGGGCAAGAATGATGGCACCAGCAAAGGACTTTGGGAATGAAGGAGGGGGTGCTCTATGCTTTGCCAACAGGTATGTAGCAATGACAACAAGACCTTCGACTCTTCCTGCCACTTCTTTGCCACAAAGTGTACCCTGGAAGGCACCAAGAAGGGCCACAAACTCCATCTGGACTACATCGGACCTTGCAAATGTGAGTCTCCCCTTGGATCTTTCTGGCTTTCCAGTGGGGAAAGTGCACTCACAGATGTTCTATTCCACTCCCCAGCTGAACGTCAATATGGGGTGGACCAAACCCAGAGAGAGGATTTTCATACATCCAAGGATGAGAGATGAATAAGCCCTTAAGCACCCAGGCAGCCATTTGTCCTGGGTGCTGGATGAGGCTTTATTATGTGACCTGGCACATGTCCCCTCCCCCATTCTGACCTCAGTGTCAACATCTATCCAATAAGAGGATGGGCTCAGATGAAACCTCCAGCTCTGACAATGTGGATTCTAAGATCCAGGATGGAAGGAATCATCTCTAAGGAAATTCTGGTGGTTAAGCATTCTTTTCTCCACTGGCCATTAAGCTGGACCTGTGGATACATGTTATTTCTGGGCCTCCCAGCATCAAACACCTTCCGGGGACAGTGTCAGCAGCACTGGGCCTCTTGGCCTTTGCTATGACTGCACCTGGGGTCCATCACCCAAAGTTCAGGGTCCCACAGTTGTAGACACAACTAACTTTGAGGGAACCATTTCCTCCTAGAGATCAGGTCAAGGTCAAGGGAGCAGCAGATGTGCCTTTGCACTCTTCTATTTCAGAGTGTTCTCCTCCCCCAACTCCCACCTCCTTTGTTCATTATGTGTATAGAAAAGTGGTTGGATGAGGAGGGTAGAGGTGGAGAGAACACTGAGGCAGGGAGGTCAGGGTCTGTGCTGACCATTCTTGTTTCAAACCCCAGATATCCCTCCCTGCCTGGACTCTGAGCTGACCGAATTCCCCCTGCGCATGCGTGACTGGCTCAAGAATGTCCTGGTCACCCTGTACGAAAGGGATGAGGACAACAACCTTCTGACTGAGAAGCAGAAGCTGAGAGTAAGTGGTCACTTTCTAGCTCATCCAGGGTACCAGCCTGGCTCCAGACAGGCTGAGATCCACAGTCCCTAAAACTAGACCCCTCACTGTAGGCATATAAGCAGGCATTCGTCCTCGGTGTTGAGACACACACTTCTCCTCACTGTCCTTGGAGGCTCACAGAGCACATGGATATCTTCAAGGCTCTGAGAAGGCTAACCCAGTCTTACCTGAAAAGGTGCAAACAGCCCTACTCCCCTTTTTATAAAAAACGCATGAGTGACCTTGAAGCTTTAGTGGCCAAGTCATTGGAAATTCTGATAAAATGCTGACTCATGGGCTACGGAATCAGTTTCTTGGAGAGCCTAGGAAGGTGCATTTTAGCGTACTTACCAGGTGATTTTGATGTTAATAGGGAGGCCCTCAATGAGATAGATTGACACAGTAGACACAATGGACTCAAACATAGCAAAGACCAGGAAGATGACATAGCAAAAGGCAGTGTTTCCTTTTGTTAGACATAAAGTCATTATGAATTGGAGCTGACTCAGCAGGAACTAAAACAATACCAACAGCTCTGTGAAGCACCCTTTGAGAAATTCTAGGGCACATTCCACTCAGGTCATCCCACATCTCCATTTTTGTGACTGAGATGTGGATGTTTCCTTCCTCCTCATCTTGAACCTTGTTCTTAACTGATCTCTATCTGCTCTGGTCTCCTGGGAGAGGTGCTGACTGGCCTGGGGAGTTTCTCCTGGGCCCTTTGTCACATGCTTTCTCTGCTCCCATAGGTGAAGAAGATCCATGAGAACGAGAAGCGTCTGGAAGCTGGAGACCACCCCGTGGAGCTGCTGGCTCGGGACTTTGAGAAGAACTACAACATGTACATCTTCCCTGTGCATTGGCAGTTTGGCCAGCTTGACCAGCACCCCATTGACGGGTAAGACTCAGACCCTCAGGGACCTTAGGGAGTCTGCTCTGACTTGGCCCTGAAGTAGACAGAGTCAGGGGTCATATCTGGTGATTATACTAGATAGAGAACAGAAACCTTCCAGCTGCTTCTGCTCCTCCCAGTCCTAGAGCCTGCAGTTTGTCTAGGGACAGAGTCAGGAAGGAACAGGCATCCGGAGAAAGGATGCAGGCTTATGAGGAAAAACGTGATAAGACATTCATTCATTATGCCAGGAAGTCGAAGTGAGCTGGAAATCCTTCCTTTATATGGTATCTATTTATTGGGGGGGAGAGTGACTTTGGAAGGAATACCAGACTCCAAAGGATGGCAGGAGTTGGGGTGGGGGCTGCAGTGTCTGAGTCCCACCCTGAGACCCAGAACAACTACTGACCCTGAAGGTTCTTACAAAATCCATGGTGTCAACCCTGTCCACGCTGAAAGCCCATGGTTTGAGGGCTGTTGCACGTTGTCCAAATGAGTCATCAAGTGCTGTGGAGTTGATCTGCAGAATACTCAGGCAGTCAGTGTGTTACCAAACATTTGTTGAGTCTGTCAATATGGGCCTAACATTTACAAAATAAATTTTATTGTGGTGAAAACATATATAACAAAACAACAATTTCTACTTGCACAATTCAGTAACATCGAGTATATTCTCCCAGTTTACAACCATTCTCACTATTGTTTTCCGACTCATCCCTCCACCATTCACATAACTTCAATGAGCCTTAAACAAAACTTCAGCAGTAATCAGGGCAGGCAGGGTCCCTGTCCCCATGGAGCTCACACTCCTTGTGATGATCTGGCTGCAGGGATTTGCTTCTCGCAATTGAAGGAGAAATGAAAAGGCTCCGGGAAGGTGGCTTGCTCCATCTGGGACTGAGCAGGGGTCCACCCCTGTCATGCCTCTGGTCTGTCTCTCTTGCTATGTGTTCCTGTGAGAAGTATGAAGATGAGGCTGGGCTAGGGAAGTCACCCTCCCTCATGTCCAACTCATGTGCTTGGAGCCAGTCCACTACCCTGGTGGCTGGGGTCTCCTGAGCTCTGAGAAGCTCCCAGTTGCTTCTCTCCCAGGCTGTGTCCATGGCAGGGATCCAACTGAGTCACTCACTGTAGAATCAAGGGGGAACATCTGGATTTCAGGCTGAGCAACTGGGTCCCACTATAGCAAAGGGACTCGGGAGGGAAGATTCCAAGATGCACTGTGAGGAATGTGCATCCGGGAAGTGCACCAGCCCCAGGCCAGGGGATCCATGCTCTTCCTCTTCTTATCCCAGAGCTGCGGTGTGGCCTTGCCTGAGTCCTTGGGTTTGCCTGGACCTCAATTTTCCCACCAGTACAGCAAAGGGGATGAGGGTGGAGCATCCTTCTAATTCAAACAGTGTGCAGTTCCTCCCATGAGTTGGGTTAGGCTGGGGTTTGGAGGTTAAAAGAAAGTTGGGGTCACATTGTTTTGTGGAACTCTTAGGGCAAGAGTGTTTTGGAGAGAGTCCATTGAGAGTTTTGGAGAACAAGGAAAAACTTCTACATGTGCTCTGTAGCCCAAGACCAGCAGGGAGAAGAGGGGTGGGGTGCAATGGGGAGAGAAAGCCGAAGCTCCTTCCTGTCAGTCATTAAATACTTTTTTAAAAAGTGAAAGCTTTATGTAGAATTGAGTTAGTTCCCTCTGACCCTCACTGCCAATCTCAGTCCCTTCCCATGCTCCTCTCTTGAAGTCAGCATGGTTTGGCACATCTCTTTTGAGACCCTTTTCTAGGCTTTTGCCGCTGTATAAATTCATGTCCATAGAAAATGTAGTGTCATTTCAAACCAGGTTTAATCTGTCAGGAACAGAAGTGTGAATATCCTAACTTTACGTGTCTCTGCCCACATCGCTCAGCCAACTAGGAAACAAATAAATACATCAAGGGATCTTTACTATTGAGCTCATGGGAAAGTCCATCACAAATGGTGGCCAACTCCTCCTTTTATTTGATGGGTGGGAGAGATGGGACTCAGAGTGGGGCACTGTTGTGCTCTTAAGTCACATAGTGGGAGGTCAGTGAGAGGCAGTGCTGGGGTAGGCCCAGGATCCTGATATCTCTCCCTGCATTGAGCATCCTTTCTTCTGCCTCTTCCCGTGTAGGTATCTATCCCACACTGAGCTGGCTCCACTGCGTGCCCCCCTCATCCCCATGGAGCACTGCACCACCCGCTTCTTTGAGACCTGTGACCTGGACAATGACAAGTACATTGCCTTGGATGAGTGGGCTGGCTGCTTCGGCATTAAAGAGAGTAAGTGTCTGAGGGAAGGGTTCGAGTGGCCCCCATAGCCATGGGTCAGGGCCTTCTAGCCTTAGTTTCCCTCCTCTCGCCAACCTCCCTCCCTCGGTCTGTGTGTCTGTCTATTCTCTGTCTCTGCTCTGCCTGAGTCTGTCCCCTCTCTGCCTGTCTCTCTTCTCTGTGTGTGCCTGTTCGCTCTCTGTGTTTGCTCTTCTGCTTGTATGACTCCTGCCTGCTCTTTGTGGGAGTGAGCCTCACTCTTACCGGTTGTCTTCCTGACTGCCCTCTGTTCAGGACCATCTCTTTCTCTTTCCTTTCCTCAAGCATTAGCACTCACTTTGTGCCAAGCACTCTTTTGGGAACTGGGAGGCACAGAAAAGGAAACAGAAAGTATAACTTGGCAGCACAAGAGTTGGGACAGGCCAGATACAGGGAGACCAAAACTCTTCAGTTGCTAACTTCCCATGTGATCTTGGGCTAGTCATGTGACCCTCTAGTCCTGGGGGTGGCTGGGCTTCCATGGACTTCTGGAAACATGTCTTCCTCAACTCAGGACCTCATCCTTAATTCTGCTCTTCTCTTGGTTTGCAGAGGATGTCGACAAGGATCTTGTCATCTAAATCCATGCCGCCTTTTGCAGTACCCAGATTCTCTTTATGACCTTCATCTTCCTGTTTCCCCCAATTTTTAAAATGTTTGGATGGTTTGTGGTTCTGCCTGGGGACAAGGTGCTAATATAGATTTAAATGAGTATATTAACGGTGCTAAAAATGGAAATTATAACCCAAGTCATGACATTTGTAGTTTTAACTCGACTATCAAAGGCCTGTTGCTCACCCACTAACTGCCCCATTTTTCTCTTGCCTTTTGCATCGTTGCCTTGCTAGCTTATAGGTAGAAACTTTGATCTGCTCAGGTCTCTCTTAAACACACATTACATCTTCAGATTCTCTCTCTCTGTTTGAAGCTAATAATTACCAAATTGACTTTGTGTGTTAATTTTAATTTTATTTGAGGGTATTGGCTGCCTTGGGGATCTTTCCTAGATGGCCTGGAGGTGGGCAAAGGGAAGTAATGGACACGTGATGCTGTCAAGAAGGTTCCTGGGACTAGAGGACCAGTGATGGGGGAATCTCTGTAGAACCCACTAGCCAGAACCTCAGAGAAGAAGTCTTGCTTGCCTGGGATTGCATCTGACAGAAAGAATCTGGGGCCGAGTTATAAAATACATATGCTCCCTCAAGTGTCCTGCTTCTCACCATTCCTCCCTAACCTTTTAGTGCAGTTTCTTTGCACGTGAAGTTGTTTGTTCAAACTTTTGGGAGCCGCGGGCCATTCACAAACTCCATATGGGTACACAACCACCTCCTACAAGACTTCTCTCCCAACAATCTTGGGGAAGTGCAGGCTTTCTTTGGGGCTCTGGGAACTGGAAGGCTGTTGTAGCCTGGAAGGCCAAGATCAAGAGTAAGACACAGAATGTTGTAAAATAGAAGTGGAGCTGGTGATTCTTTTTTTTTTTTTCCAACTTTGGGTGACTGTCATGAGGGATTTTTCTTTTGGTTTCTAGCATATTTCTCCTTTTCCTTACCTTGTTTTCTTCTATTAATCAAGAGAAACCTTCAAAGTCAATGGGATAGTCGGATCCCACAGGCTGAGAACTCGTTCACCTCCAAGCATTTCATGAAAAAGCTGCTTCTTATTAATCGTGCAAACTCACGCTGTGATGCAATGAGTTTGACAAATCTTTCAAAATAAAATGTAATGACTTAGAAACTGCCTTCCTGAGTGATTTTGCATATGCCTTATTCACTTCAGTATCCTAACACACAGACATGTATATACATGTTCACTGGCAGACATACTGTTATACTATTGGAAACACAACTGTGGGAATGGCACAAGACTGGTTCTGTTGGCATGGTTCCCCAGAAGTCAAGGGTCAACTCAACAGGAGCTTAACAGCATACAACTATACACACATACAGGCATAGGTATACAAGGAAGTGTGTGGTTCCTCTAAGCACTTATTTAAAACCTGATTGAATTGTATGACCTGTGGTCTGACTCATTATCACAAGTACCAAAAGACACAACTCTCATTTTACCCATATAGTTGTTCATTCGCTTATTCAATAAAAATTTCTTTTGAACATTTTATTGTGGTTTGGTAAAAGTTTACAGAGCAAATTAGTTTCCCATACAATAATTTATGTGCATTTTGTTTTGGGACACTGATTGCAATCCCCTCAAGTACTAGCACTTTCCCCCCTTCCTTCCTTGGTTTTCTGTTTCCCTTCACCTGTCTTTCCTGTCCCTTCCTGCCTTCTGAACTTTGTTTTTGGGCAAATGCTGCCCTTTTTGGTCTGAGGAGCACGGTCCTCATAGGTGTTATTGTTCACATTATAGGCCTATTTACTGTTTAGTATTGTTTGGCTGAAAGACAGTCTCCAGGAGTGGGTTTAGTTCCAGGTTTAAAGGGTACCTAAGAGCCACAGTCTCAGGGTCAACAAATATATTCGATGTGCTAACTCTATACTGGGTCTGAGGACCACCAAGCAGACATTTAAAAAAAACAATAATTTTATGAGTCGGTTCTGACTCATCGCAGGGGGTTTCCGAGGCTTTAGGTCTTCATAGGAGCTAAGATATAAAGCTTTGGAAACCATAGAGATACATAAAATATCAGCCATCAAATAATCTTACAACTCTGAGTAGCACCAAGGCTGGAATGGTGGTGTTCTCACAATGTCAAAATTCAGAACTGCAGTCGAATGAAGTGTAACAACATCAATACACAGGAAGACAGGAGACAGGAATATCTAAAGGGGATTTTCTCAGAGTTCAAGCCAAGGACAAGTCTTTAAGAACCAGTTCCAAATAGCACAGCAGTGGCAGAAATTGGGGAGGGATACTCCATTTGACTCACTTGAGTAGGCCAAGAAGGTTACATGAGAATACCTACAAAGGGGCTTCCAAAGTTTGTGGGAGAATAGAGTTGAAAGATAATGAAACTTTTCCACTAACATTTTGAAGCTCACTCGTGTTAACTGTTGAATATAGAAATAATTTTAGTCAGAGTTCAAGCCTTTTTCAACATCATAAAATCCACACTAGAAAACAACAACATAAATGTGTTGATTGTGGGGAAAGTTCTTTCAGAGGTATTTCATTCAGCATTGGTGGGTCCATACAGGGATGGCCCTATAAATGTGAGGAGTGTGGAGAAAGCTTTAAGATGAGTTCACGTCTCATTGGCCACTAGAGAATTCATACAAGCGAGAAGCCTTCCCTGTGTGGTGAATGTGGCCTGTTTCAGCCAGAGTGCTCATCTCAGGTTGCACATGAAGTGCACAAAGAAAAAAAGACGTGTAAAACCTGGGGCAAAAATATCAGGACAAAAACTCAGTATCATCTTGGAGAGCTGACGCCAAAATGAAGTCAGTGGCTCGGCTCCGTTAACTCAAGGGCCTGGCTTCAGCCCTCTCATAAGAGAAGGTGAACTCTTAGAACTGGAGATGCTTTGTAGTTGAAGGCTCAAATCCTGGATCCTTTGCTAGCATTGAGACGTTGGGGGTTTCATGACAGTATAGAGTTGAAAAAAACACAGGAGTCTAGCTGTTGTCATTTCTTTCTTTCTTTTTTAATGTGAGTTGGAGCACATTTAATTGAAAATATGGTTTGAAAGAATTCAAGGTCCTTTGGCCCCATTTAAAGTTGTTTCTTATATCACTTTGTCAAAAATCCCTCGTATTTGAATGACACGTATGAAAGTGCAGGGATGTACCAGGGATACTCAGTTTTAGGACTTACTGTGGAAAAAACTTGATTAAATAAACCCAAGCCCTCTGCCATGTTGATTCCAAATCATAGTGTTTACCAGACTGCAAATGTCTACAGAAGCAAACAGCTTCATCTTTCTCCCACAGATAGCTGGTGGGTTTGAACTGCTGACTTTGTGATTAGCAGCATAGTTCTTAACCCACTGTGCCACCACAGATTCTTGATTGACTTAAAGGTTGCTGTTGTGAAGTGCTGTGGACTCACTTCTGACTCATAACCACCCTGTTTAGGGTTTCCGGGGAGCAGCCGTTAGATTTGAACAGACAACTTTTCCATTAGTAGACCAGTGCTTATCCTGCTAATTCCATTAGTTTTGGAGTTCAACATATGAAGAATTTTTATTTTGCTTACAAAGTTTTGAGTGTATTAAGAAATGGTTTGTAATATGAATTGGAGATTCAGCATATTAAGATGGATTCACATTCACAGAATTTTTATCAGCAAGGCCCATCACTCTATGCTAGCTTTGCCTTGTTTGTTTGGGACAATTATTGTTGTTAAGTGCCATTGAGTCGGTTCTGACCCATAGCGATCCTGTATAGGGTTTCCAAGGAGTGGCTGGTGAGCTTGAACCACCAGTCTAGTGCATTTGTCCACAGCCCCACACCAGGACTCTGGGGAAATTATTAAAGGAGTAGCATTTCCCTGTTTTTTCCACCGTACTCTTAGTAAAAGATACCATAGAAGCCAAAGGGAGAACTGAATTAGACCACACATCTCCTAATCCTGTTAAGACTGTTTCTTGTGACAACATTACTGCTCTGTCACTCATTTCCACACTTGTGGTGGGTTGACATTGAACCACGCCCCTGTCCTTGAACTTTTGACATTATCTTGTGCTTTGACAAGGTGAGCTGATCTTAAAGATTTTTATGGATAAATAATTACTTTCTCTTTTCCAACACAGTCTCAGCTTGTGTCTTGCCAATTAAAAATCTACAGTTTACATGCCTTCCCTATTTGAAACCCTTAGATAATCTTGGTGACCTTAAGCAAATGTTTGTCAGCAGCAAATGTCATTTAATTCAAGTGCCAGTGCTTTGAAACTAAATTAAGTATTTCTGCATTATACGAATTGTTTAAGAAGTCTAGCAAACCTGTTTCTTAACTTCCGTCAGAACAGGGCCAGGTGTCAGACAATCTGATCAATATTCAACTTAGGTTTTCATATCTATGCTACAATTTTGATTTTTATATATTGTCTCACTGTGGCTTAGGCATTGGGCTGCT